TGTCAAAATGATGATCAAAACGATGCTAGATATGACGGTGGAAGTATCTACCAACGACAAAATGACTGCGAATCACATTTTTTTATGTAACTTTTGATAGAAACAAGATAGGAAGTTGCAGTTTCCGCCGTTGGAAAGCGGAGATAAAGAAGCATGGAAACGTATTTTACAAACTTTTCTAAATATGCTTTTTGAGTCTTTTAAAGTCCATTTTCCAAAAATGGGTAGGGAAAAAACAATTTTTATCAAACAGAAAAAAAGAAAAAAAGTTTTATTTTTCACAGAAACTGTTAGAAAAATCGGCTTCTAGTTCCGAGTAGAATACTTATAACTCCTGAACGATTGAAGCTCAGAATCTGAGCGGTGCACAGTTTTATAGATCTTCAATTGTCGCTTTCAATATATATCAGATAGTTGAAAATTCCATGTAGTCATCTATCAAAAACGTTGTTTCACAAAAAGCTCAATTGAAAACTTTAAAAAAACCAAGTCAAAAAGTCTATAAGATATGATTCAATGCGTCTTAATTTCCTCTTTCCAATAGTGAAAACCGCAGCTCTCTATCTTGTTTCTGTCAAAAGTTACATGAAAAATGCGATTCGCAGTCGTTTTGTCGTTGGTAGTATAATAAAATAGTGATCATCCTATTAGTTTGTAGATGGTAAAAATTATAGAAAAACTAAAATGGTTTTATTTGGAGAAAATTTCTGTATAACGTCAGCTTGAGTATGATCGAAATAATCATTCTATATATTTCTCTCATGTGATTTGATGTTTGTTGGAACTATTTTTTCTTTTCACTAAACATAGAATAAGTTTGGTTAAAGCAACAAGTAACGCTCGTCGCTGCGACTCGCTTAACCCTCGACTGAATATAGTCTACTCCTTATCTATCGCTTCTCATGAAATTATATATTCAGAACTATCACTTAACGAATACACGTATACAAAAACTTATACATTATTCTTATAGATGATCCTCTTGTAAAAAAGACCAACTCTTTGAATAGCGTATAGATTTTAGAATACGTGTGTTTGTTCGACGATAATTATCAATATAGAATTCGATGAGGAAACGATGGATAATGAGTAGAATATATTCAGTCGAGGGTTAAGCGAGTTGCGGCGACGAGCGTTACTTGTATATTACCACATCCCAAGTTTAATATAAGTTAATAATTCTTTTTAATTTCCAATTAAGAACTATTTTTTTCGATTTAATTCGTTACGGATTATTAAGGAAGAAAAAAAAATTAATTCCATTAATTTTCGTTTCAATGCACCTAAAAATAAAAATTAAACAAAGTATCTGAAATGAGACGCTCCCGATAGCGTGGATGTGGTTAAGCCTGCGGAGGTCGGATATTGAGCTGTCTGTGACTGAGGATACGCTTCTTGGTAACTGTGCACATTTGTGAACTGACATTCGTATAGTTATGGGTCAGGGAGTCAGTCCGAGTTCGACTACCCGATGCGACTGTCGGTCTCAGTCTAGACGAAGATTTTGGCGCCAGCGGTTGATTACTCGGAAGGCACGGATGGGTATGGGTGAACCTATTTGTATGAATACATTTGCGCGGTAGACTGAAGGCGCGACTCTTATTTCCTGTGCAGCTATCATCGTGCCTCTACGCTGTATCTTTAAGGAACTTTTCAAGTATTCTCAGCGTAAGACCACATGATCAACCTCCCGAGCATCCTCAACATTTTACATATATGCGTATCCATTTTTTGGTATCCATCTCGTTATACCAAATTCACTGAAAATCCTCATCTTTAAAAGATAACGCATCCGTTTTGAGTATCCATTTCGTTACACCAAATTCACTGAAAATCCTCACCTTTTAAGGATATGTCGATGTTTCAGAATATCGATATCCGAGTTTCGAATATTATGACGTCCCTCTAACGTAGTCATATTCGGAAGGAAAATAAATAAATAGTATGGTGGCTCGATATTTGATATATTACAAAATCATTTCCCTAATGTTCGAACACTTTTCAGCACAATCAAATTGTGTCCAAGTAATCTTTAATTCAAACATCATATTATGAATTATTTTGATGCGAACTTTTACAGCCTGTAAGTACATTTTCAAAAACTTGAAAATAAAATAAATAAATCACCAGAAGATGACTGATTAAAATTTCGTCGCTGAAAATTGTAGGACTTTTTCTTTTTTTGTTCAAAAATCGAAAACAAAGTTGGACAACTAAAGGTATCTGATGATATTTCTGAGTATGAAAGAAATTCGTATTCCTATTTTTCAAACTCCAGCAGTAACCACGATCCAAAAGTTGGCAATTCAAGAAAATCAAGGAATTTAACAAAGATACATAAGATAGTGAGCTATAAGTGAACAATATAATGGAGTTCAAGGAATTCAAGGAATTCTAGAAATTCAAGAAATTCAAGGAATTCAAGAAATTCAAGGAATTCTAGAAATTCAAGGAATTCAAAGAATTCTAGAAACTCAAGGAATTCTAGAAATTCAAGAAAATCAAGCAGTTCTAGAAACTCTCGAAATTTTCTTGAATTGCTTGATTTTCTCGAATTCCTTGAATTACGTCATAGTCTAACGTTATCATTCTATATTTGATGTGTCTTTCTTGAATTCCTTCAATTTCCTTGAATTTCCTAAATGGCTTGATTTTCTTGAGTTTCTTGAATTCCAAGGCAATCTCAAGAGTGAGGGTGAAGGCATCCTCTTCGCGAACATTACACTGGAATTCAAGACATTCAAGAAAATCAAGGAATTATAGAAATTTTCTTGAATTCCTTGATTTTCTTGAATTCCAAGACAATCTCAAGAGTGAGGGTGAAGGCATCCTCTTCCCAAACATTATACTAGAATTCACGAAATTCAAGAAATTCAAGAAAATCAAGGAATTCTAGAAAATTTCTAGAATTTCTAAAATTGCTTGAGTTTCTTGAATTCCAAGGCAATCTCAAGAATGAGGGTGAAGGCATCCTCTTCGCGAACATTACACTGGAATTCAAGAAATTCAAGAAAATGAAGGAATTCAAGAAAATTTCTAGGATTGCTTGATTTTCTTGAATTCCATTGCAATGTAAACTTATGAGTTAGTATTTTATGTGTCTTTCTTGAATTTCTAGAATTTCTTGAATCGCCAATTTGTGGATCGTGGTTAGATCTCTCAAACTCACATTTCACTCCACACTTGTCTTTGCGCTGCAACCGATGATGTCAACGAATAAATGTATGCTTTCTTTTAGATATGTATTTCAACAAATATTCATTTGATTTCCATTTACTTGCTATGGTGATATTTTTTCTTTGTGATAATAACCGGAT